CATAAGGATTCATCAGGAGTATACCGCGGATGGCCTGCTCCGACCCCGGTGCCTGCATCCAAGTCGGTTGCACCGGGGCCTGTGGTAGGTCGAGCGAGTGGACACTGGCCGCAGACTCGACTGATGCGTCTTCAGGCTGAGCAGGATGGATGCTCGCAAGCCTCCGTACGTGGTGCTGGTATTGTCGAAGTGAAGGAAATTCACAAAGGGACGATCACGGTAAGTGACGATCTCCTGGGTGGAAAGCTTCGGCTCAGCAAACGAGCCAGGGGCTGAGTTTTATCTCGTTATGTTCGGAATATAAGAGGGTTTCGGTAGTGGATATATTGCGAACTGCTCACACAGTTCTTGCTGGTCATGCTCTTTTATCATGGCAAGTCCTCATGATTAGAGGTTCTATCAGCAGGGCCAAGAGTATCCTTGTCTCGATAGACGTTACATCGTGCATCTACAGGCAGGAATTCTCCCACTTCTTCCATCAGGTCGAATTACCAGACACAACTTTCCTTCAAAGGACTGGTCCCCAACTAGTCAAATACGAGTGTACCGGTCTTAATCTGCCGTCCCGAGGGCTAGCTGCTCGCTACTCTGTTCGACAGCAGTGCCGAGACCCAGCAATACCTGCGTCAACAGCGGACGACTATAACGTTAGGGTATCCCTTATTTGTGAGGGGAAGTTGGAGGTGGACCAAGCCGCTCAAGTCTGGGGAGAACCAGCCCCGCTGAATAACGTAAGTGTAGACTGGTTCAGGATGCGCAAGTTTTCGATCCCACCAATGCCCCTATCGAAACACTGCACTCTTATCCTGAGTTGATCTCAGCACTGATCACGATCCCACATGCGCTCATATCATGATCCCAACACTGATTCATACTGAACTCCTTGTCAGAACGCGACAACCACAGCTGTTTCGACTGGAGACGTTACCCAAGACTCGGTGGTGGAGGTCGAAGACCATACGACCGGTCAGAAGCAGTATAAACAGCTAGTATTGAATCCAACAGAGTACGAGAAGTCTCACTTGAAGGAGCTGAAGCTCAATCTGAGAGCATTGAAGCACGGTAATCAGACAATCTCGAGCATCAATACAGAGAACGACAAGATTGTCATCCACTCGAGAGAAGCTGAAAAGATACTGGACACATTAAAACGTAGGCTCCTCGGATCGAACCTGTGCCATATTCATGCACTTAGGTGACGCTGGCACGGTCCATGTGAAGCCTGCATGAGATATATGTGATGTTCAAAAGTTGTCTTAGTTGTTGTCCATCATTCACTACATCTGTACACATCGGGTGGTTGTTGTGTGAAGCAACTTGTGTCCATCCCCTTTGTTGAGTTGTATTCCATCATAACCCAGACAATCGAGCTTGTCGCAGCACAGGAGTGGTGTGCTCCTAGCGTAGCGCCTACCGCTGTGCTGGGCAGCTGTGTGAGCAACAGTCGATATTTGAACGGGCATTTTATTGCATAAGCCTGAATTGAGATTGACGCAATCGCAATAAAAGCTGGGGACCTTTTTTGTCGCCTATACGATAGCAGGCATCTCTTACAGCCCTGTGTGAGCATGCTCAAGCTCACGATACCGAGGTGATGAATTATCTCTAATGAAATGTGGCGCGTCCGAAAAAGAGTGCCGCCGCGTCTAGCAGCTCGAGACTTGTTCTTGAATCCAGAATTCAAAAATCTGTGTAGGAAAAATTTGATATCTTTAAACTTTGACTTTGTTGTGTACGATTGAATTCTACATAGCTATCACCTGCGTCTGGATATTCGCGATATCATCCCTGATCTCAGCAAGTTTTTGTTCGACCCTCGTGGGCAGAATTTTTTTAGAATGGACAGCACACGCGACGAAACCGAGTATGGGTTCGCGTTTCGGGTTGATAAGGGGAAGATATAGAGATCAAATCCTTGTTAGAGCATTTATAGGGGATGATGGTGGTTGAGGGGACGAGGAGGTGGCTTACTGGGAGTGGCCAAGTGGTGTAATGGTTAGTAATGGTGTGCTTTAGAGGGGATGGTCGTGGGTCCAATTCCCAGTCAGGGTCCCAGTTGGGCAAATCAGGAATACTGGCCGATGACTTCACTCTGGACCCCTACGGGGACCAGAGGAATCCATGGCATTTATGCGCGAAATTGAAGTGCACGCCGCGCAGCACGCACACACGAGGATTCACGTGCACGCACGAATTGGAAGTGCACGCAGTATAAATGACAAATCAATGTTACCCTCTAAGAGATTCGAAGTTACCACCTGACCAAGAATAAAACTATACAAGTAAAAACATTAATCATTCAGTGTCAATATGGTGTAGTGGTTAGTTGTAGTGTACAGGGATCAGATGGTCGTGGGCTCGATTCCCACAGGATACATAGATACTACGTTTTACTCTAATATACTAGATAATAGGGGACCCACGCAGTTCAAACGAAAATGAAATTATCGACTCAATTGGGTGCCCGGGAGAGCAACGGTCTAGCTAACCGTTGGTCCTGGGTTCGATCCGCACAGCCTGGCGAGCACCTGATGAAACGAGGTGCTCGGTGGCAGAGCACTCTTCGTGCACTATTGGAACTTGACGCCGCACTGCGAAGATTTCGCGTGCGAGCACACAAGACCGGAGACGCAGTACACAGGATACGAGACGTTTCATGATACCGCTGTCGCGCTACGCCCGTTATCGATCACTCATTCATTAATCACTCGTCAATCAATCGCTTTGTTCTTTGTAGTTGTTAGCCTCCGCTCTTTCTCTAGTCCCTTTGTAGTCCCTTTGTAATCCCTTGCAAATGTCCTTTACCCTCAGCTTCAACGGCAGTACGGTGAACATCATCGTTTACACTACCGGCCTGTCTACCGCTGGGCCATCTACTACTACCAGTGTCGATGTTGACGACCAAATTGATGATAGTGGGCTACTCTCCCCTCGATCGCGCCAGGAGTGGCGCGATCACCAACTGGCATGCCAGTTGGCGAGAGGGGAGGACCGGACGAGTGCATTGAAGGATCGTCACCAGAAGGAAAGACTTTATCCGCTTATTGACGGCGTACGGCGACGTACGCCTGAGAAGACGATAGATCAATATTTCACTGTAAGCATTCGAATTCAGTTTTATTATCATCTTTTTCTCTTCAGCGTCGTAAAACCTCCTCTCCTCCTCCTCACCCCGCCCCCTCTCAAGCCAAGACCCCTGCCCCCACCGCCCCTGCTGCCACCGCCCCTGCCCCCACCGCCCCTGCCCTCACGCCTTCCCAGCGAGCTGGGATACCCAATACGGTACCCGTAGCTGGCTCCCCAAATGTAAGATATTCATGAGTTTTTTGTTCTATGTGCGTCTGTTTTTCAGTCCTTCCGCCTTCCTGTTTTTGATGAACGTAGGGCGTGCCTCTCCTACCCTCCCCTCCCGCCTCCGCCCCTGAGTACGAGTCTGACTACAGCAGTGGTGAGTTATTCCCTGCTAAACAAAGGAGATGATGGTTGCATTACAGGTGAGTATCGGCCACCCGTCGTTAATCCGCTGATCCCACCACCGCCGCGTGCGTGGACAGATCCGGAGATAGAGGCCTTTGAACAAGCCCTCTTAGATCCGGATCTTGTGCTTCCACACATTAACTAGTCTTCTCCTCACTCTCCAATAGAAGTTTAGTTCTCGGGGCTATCACGATGCTAATCGCGGGTGTGCATCTTGGTTTTACGATCTGAAGGGGAATCTTAGGAGTCGCTGCGCACGATAGTATCGTTTTGTATTACAAAAGAGGTTCAATCGAGGCATCTTTGTGCTGGGTATTCGTCGGTTTGTCCTCGCCATTTCTCACTGTGAAGATCCGTACTTATACTAGGTCGCCTAAGAGTGAAACTGTTGCATGTGATAATAACCTAACATTTTACTCTGCATCCACACTCTTAGTGGAATTGTGTTCTCATTCATCATGGCCGCCGCCGATGATCAGCACAGGTTGGAGACAGAATCGTTAAAGGGATAAAATCTGACTAGAATCATGATGCGGTATCTTACATTCATGTCAGACGGCCAACCTAATGTAATGCGATTCTCTCATCTGAGTGCTCGTTTGGGGAGTGTGATAGCGAGAACTTGTTTAATATTCTCCAAATTGGCGCTCACTCCATATTTGCATATCAAATTGACGGGTATACTCCAATACTACACGTTTATGTTGTTTTCTTCCCGTCGTTCATCACAATACGAGAACAAGCTGTTGTCGAGGTACTGGCTGAGGGGGTACCTTGGACTCCAAGTGAAGATTCTCCAAGGCTTGGAGAATCTTCACTGTTCCGCGCGTGCAAGTGATTCTTAAGAAATGCGGGAACGTCAGGATGAAGGCCGCTCGGAACGGCCTCTATGCGATACAACTTTTATCGTGGTGGAAGGATATGCATATGTTGAACTATGAAAATTCTATGCAAATTTTGGAAGAAATTATTATTTGTTTCTGTTGACTTCTACCCGAATTCATATGCAGAGTTGTGAAGTGATGAGATGCAACATACACTCCAACACTGGATGAGCCGATTAGTATCGTTTTCATGACTATGATATAGAATTATAGTTGCCGAGAAGCCGTTGTTAGTAACGAATCGTACATTCTGTGAACTGAACTGTTGTATTGAAGTTTAGGACGGAAGTATCAGAACATATCACTAGTGCTGATGGTGGGGGGGGGGGCCCGCAGCCGCTGCTTTTGTCTAGGGCCTCACCTCCTACGAAAATCCTGACCACGGCTCTGGTTGTTACAGCGGAGTGTAGATCAGGGAATCATCCAGGAACCTATAATGGTCCCGGGGAGAACTCATTTTGAATTTTCCACGTATGGCTAGGAACACATTCTTCAATCAGCTTCCCATTTACATTGGCAGCATTCTCCCCGTTGTTATCGAACTCTGGAGACTGGTGCTGATCTACACGAGTATGAACGGAAATTGTATTGGAAAGTGGAGAAATTGGAGCCGTATCAGGGATATGCGCGATTTCTGTCTTCGGTCAGAAGTTTGCATGTTGATTCGGACAGAAGTGTGCAAAAACGCACGTAGTTGACCATGCGCATACTCTCCCACACTGAATGTGTGCATAAGGAGAATCTGTCGTTTCTCCGGTGGCTTTGTCAAGTAAGACCTATTGCTCCCACTCTCGAGGTTGCATGTTGTGTAAGTACCAGAAGTGTGGTATGAAATATTCTTCTGGGAGAAGCTACGTTCGAGTAGTAAAGGCTCTGAGGGCAGTCTGCGGTTCTGCTTCGCTCCGCCTCATTTTTGAGGAAGTTGATCTGTAAGTATCAATTGGTGCGGTATGTAACACAAGTTCGAGGTTATATGATCCGTGGGGCAAACATATGTTGAGTACCCAGTTCGGCGACAGTTCTGGCCTGCCCGTTACGGTAGCGTTTGGGCCAACCCTTAAGGGAAGCAAAACGGCGGCAGCGGCGGCGTTGGCCTTGGACCGACACACGTTTGAGCGGCGGAACTCATGCTGTGATCTCTCTGGAAAATAAGCACATGTGTTGGTGATAATATGGAAATTATTGTTGGTTTCTATGATCAATGGAGCTTCACCGGTTTCAGGTGAAGTGGCGTAAAACTCGGTGTAAAACGCGATATTCGCGGTGATATGCAGTAGTCGTGAAATATATATTTTCACTAGTGTTTTCCATATCACTAGGGTGAAACTCTATTGTAATATTAGTGAGGATATTACTGAATTATTTCCGAGGGGAGCGAACTGTACTAAAAGCTGTCAGTTATTTATTCAATCATTTCTACCAATCTCAATGTCGGAGGCCCCTCCCGGTGGCTCCAGCCCGGCCGTTCAAGACGATTTTACTGTTGCTGAGTTCATGGGAGACGTACCAGAGGAGAATGGGAGTTGCGGTACTAGCAGCCCGAAATGGTCCGATGTGAAAATGGAGAATATGTTGCCTAGCAAGACCGCTCGAGTCCAGATGTCGGCAACTTGTAGTTCCCCGAGTTTGCCCCAGGGTGAGGACCGATCAGCAGTTGGGGGTGCGCCTTCACTAAGCGCGTCGGTGTCATCAACCAGCTCGGCTACTGTGGACATAGGAGTTAGGGATGTTAGTGTTTATGGTAGGAAAATAGCGCATCGCTCCGCCCATTTTCGGTGGAATGTTTTTGATTTTTTCTCGTGGTTCAGGTCCGTCTTCGGATGCGAGTATCTGCACATTGGGAGGAGGGAAGCCTTTGAAGACTCAAGGTTCTTGGAGCGAGGCTATGCGGGCGACAACAATCGGCCCTAGAGCTGCTGGGGCGATGTTGAAGGTGAAATAGCTAAGTTCGATATGAATGTTGGTTGTCAATCGTCCATCCCTGGTTCGGATCCCACGGTTGTCATTTTTGGAGTTTCTGTAGGTGCCTCTGCGTCGTCTGCTAGGTCATTCCAAAAGGAAGTCGTGGAACTCCAATATGGAATCGTAGGAATCATCATCGTTATCCCCCCTCTAATTTGATCTGTCTCGCGGGTTCGATCCTCTGGGACGTCATTTTGACAGGTATATCGGTGCTTTGCACTCGGTCGGAAAGCACCTTTCTGGCATGAGCGTTGAGCGTGTGAGGAAACTGGCAGAAAAACCGTTACCAAACAGTATGCTCCCAAAAGGAGTGGTAAAAACCACACGATATATTTCCGCTACTATTTTGCATTGAAATTCCCTTCAGTTTCGCTTCGCTCAGTCTCTCCACATCGACGGGCAGGAGGAAGCTCTAAAATTGAGTAATTATTATCCTAGGGATTTCTGATCGTTTTATTGGATTCCATCACAGCGTGGATATGGCCGAATGAGATCACACCGTTGAGGCCGCCGGAGCTAGCAGTACAGAAGGTTGGACCCAGCATTAGTGTGTTGAAGGAAAACCCGGTCATCTTGTAAGTAACCTTTTTTCGTGTACGTAAAACGATAATGTAGTTGGACATGAATAGCGGTTGATATATATTAGATTTTCACCCGTTCTACGTGAAGTGGCGTGATACTCGGCCGCTATATGCAGTAGCGGTCTTGGAATATATGTTCGCTTTCCTCAACTGAACTCGGGAGTTTCCTCATTTGTTACAGGAGTTTATATGCGGGTTTATGCCGGACCCGAATTTCGGGTGGAAATGTATAGCAACCAATGCGAATTTTCCGAAATTTCCTCAAAAATTTCATATCGTCGGCCGCACATGTAGTTGATCATGTGCATATTTTCCCACACTGTGCAGTAGTCGTGAAATATATTTTCCACTAGTGTTTTTCATATCATGGTCGTGATATTCCATATATGGTGTTATGGTTCATTGTGTATAGCGCATTCCTAACTGAGTATTACGCCACTTCACATGAAACGGGTGAAACTCCATCAATGTGATGTTCACATAAAGAATTACGAAGGCTCGAAAATCATAGGATGCAGAATGTAAAAATGAGTGAAAATGTAGATATGAAATTATAAAAAAAGTATAGTGCAGGTACGTCCCTGGCACGCCATTCTGCGTATGGGGCAAAGGAGTTCATCGCTATATGTGCTACCTCCTAGCCAAACGAGCCGAAGCTGTAGTGTGAGTGCAACCTCCACCTATTAGTATTTTTTCAACATCGTTCTAGGTGTTGCATCACTAGCGACTCTTTGCCACCAGCGACGTCATTTCACGAAGGAGTTTCTTATATAAAGACTGTGTAAAAATGCGTAGCTGATTTTTGCTCGGAAAATTACTAAGTGATGTTTTTCAGGTATAAGCATCTTATAGAAACCATAGGAGTTGACCCTGGTGCAATCGCAGTTGCTGGCGACTCTCTCGGTGCGGGGATGGTCATGTTGGCACTCATGGCGCTCAGAAACGAAGGGGTAGGAGGAAGTATATTGGAGGAGTATATGTTCGGTTCTCTCAGCTCAGCTCAGGAGTTTCCTCACTGATTATAGAAGTTTACGTACGAATTATGGTAGAAATTTAGAATAAAATCTCTCAAAATTTTCGTACAATTTCCATGTTGGAGGATTCGTCATGTTTATTCAGATTGCGCTGCCCAGTAGTGTTTGCCTGATTTCTCCCATCACCGACTTAGCCGATCAAGTCGACGACTTTTCCGACGAGTTTAGTTCCTCTACGGATGAACGGAAGTCTTCGAACGCCGACAAAGGCACTGAGAAAAAGAAAAATGAGGAGGAAATGACCGGCGGACTTGGAGATGATATTGGCACCTCGAGTGACGCAGTTGGGGAATCTGAGAGCTCCAAACCTGCTAGGGAGAAAAGTGGTAATAAAGCGGATACCTGATATTAACCATAATAATACAATTATGATGGAGTTTCGCCGGTTTTACCAAAGAGGTGTAAAACTCGGTGGAAAACGCGATATTGGCGGTGTCGTGGAATATGTAATTCACAATTGTTTTCATATCACGGTCGTGAAACTCCATTGATAGAAGACTTCTATGACCTTAGTACTAATAATATCCACAAATATCAATAATATGGAATTCCCTCCGAATTAAGAATATATAACTTCAGTCGACGAGGAAGGGAAAAATGCAGAAGTTGACGCTGGTACCGAGGTGAACACACCCCCGAAGTCTGCGGTATCATCGCGAGCAGCAGCAGAGAGGAAAGAATGCGTTGACTATGTACAGCGCGATCTGGTAATGGTAGGGGGCAATGCACGTCGATCAGTGTTGGGGGATGGATATACAGTGGAGTTTCACAACCCGTTTTACGTGAAGTGGTGGCGTAGAACTCGGTGAAAAACGTGATATTCGCGGTGATATGCAGAAGTCGTGAAATACGTTTTCCACTAGTGTTTTTCATATCACGGTCGTGGAAGGCCAGTGTGTTGACTTTGGTAGTCCAAAACGAGAAAATGTTGTATCTTGGCTAATTCGACGATTAGGAATGTGGAACCTCGAACATGTGTTGGTGAATAGGGAAATTTTCGTTGGTTTTTGTACACCTATACGCTGAGCCGTATAATGCTGCTTTGGAAACTCCTGAGCTGGGCTTAGAAAAGTAAACATATATACTCAGAACTTATACGTTTTTGAGGATATGTTTGTGTTCCTCTGTTAAGGAGTTAACGTGCTCATTTCGGTAGAAATGTACGGAAAAAAGGAGAATTTCCTTAGAATTTTCATATTGTCACCAACAGATGTGGATATTTTCCCACGAATTCGCTTTCTTGCTCAGTTATCCAGCATGGCTCAATATGCTATTGGAAATTCATGTCCGACTTCTGCGGAAGTCTCCCCTTATTACGCGGACCTCAGCGGTTTACCTAGCATGTTGGTAAACTATCGTGGATTTTTTTCCTCGAAATTTCTCATATTTTCGTTACAGATCCAAGCGGGGCAAGAGGAAATTTTCCTCCCCCAAATTGAACGTTTTTCTGCTAAGGCGTCTGCAATGAAAAACCCCGATACTCATTTTCAGTTCCAGGTGTACGAGGAAATGGTGAGTCTTTTGCGTCGTCACTGCGCCACAAAATTCATTCTCTAGTTGGAATGTGGGTTCTTTGTTGAGAGAAATTCAAGAGGATTTATCGAGCGATGATGACCGTTCTAAATTCGAGCGTTTTTACTTGGGTAAAAACACGAAATTTAAGTTCGGCTGGCATTTTGACAAGCAAAGCGATGGGGAAGAATTGTTCACACTCTGTTATTCATCTCTCATCGAAACCACATGTCCAAACACGAGTGGCAAAACAAAAATGTAAAACACTATATAGTGTATTGTCGTGAGGTCTCGTGTG